CGGAACTGGGGATTGAACTCAGGCCCTTCCGCATGCCAGGGAAGCACTCATTCTACTGAACCATCTACCCGGGCCGATTTCTTCCTTTTTATTGCTGAATACTATTTTTTTCCATTTTATTTGAAAGTGTAAAAACAAAAAAAACCAAAAACAAATAACAGGAACAGAAAAACAAACAATATATGTGGTACTGAATTGCAAAGCAAGATTAGAAATTGAACAATTGTTGTATTGTATATTTTCATTGTCAAATCCATTGCTCAGATTAATGGATATAGGCATGCAGAATTGGTCAAACAGTTAAACATTAACACTTTCAACAAACTTTAATTTCTTTGTCCTTTTTTAAACTTATTTTTTAACTACTATTCTATTTTGTATAAATACACTTTCCTTATTCAGTCATGTACTGACAGACGCTGCAGCTGGTTCCTTGTCTGGGTCTTATGAATAGTGCTGCTGTAATCATGATAGGACAAGGGTCTTCCTGATGGATCAATTTCATCTCCTTTGGATATGTGCAGAGTGGAGGGCTGCCAAATCATCCCACTACTATTATTATCCTATCACTCTTATTGGCAATTGGTCTTTTGTTTTTTCATAAAGAACTCTCAGATTGCATTTAACTATAGTTGCTCTAACTTACATTCTCACCAACAGTGCATACAAGTTTCCTTTTCTCCATATCCTTGCCTAAACTTGATAGCTTTGGTTTTAGGAAAATAGCCATCCTAACAGGTATGAAGGTGACATCCATTATTATTTTGATTTGAATTTACCTGATTGTGGTGATGAGCATGATTTCTAATACATTTTGGGCTCATTCATGTCTCCTTCTGATAAATAGCTATTCATGTCTTTTGCTCATGTTTAATCAGGTTTTGATATTTGTGTTTCTAAGGAATTGTCTGTGTTCTTTATGTAGTATATTCTGACCCCTTACTATATGTATAAGGGCTTTCTCCCATTCTGTAGGCTGTTTGTCCACACTTGATTGTTTCCAGGGTTGTATGAGGCTTTTTGAGCCTGACCTACTCCAATTTGTCTACTTTATGTTTGTCATCTGTGCTTTCTGGGTTATATCCAAAAAGTCATTGCTCAAATCAATGTGATGGAGCATTTTCCCCATGTTTCTTCCTACCATCTTCATGTTACTAAATCTTTAAATGTTTAAATAAAAGTTGAGTTCATTTTTAAAAAATATGACATAAGAGGCTAAGCTTGTTCTCTTTCATGTACGAATGTACTTTTCCCAACAATTGTTTTTTCTTTCTGAAATGAGTTATTAAAGCACTAGTTCTCCTGAATGTGTCTTCTGAATTCTAGAGTGTGAGTTAAGGAAGTCTACACTACTTAAGGCACGCTATTCAGAGGAAAGTAAGCACTAAGAAAGCTTCTGCTGGGAAATAGCACCTGTCACTTCTCCTCGCCAATGATTAGCCTCAACCAGTCAGTGGTCAGGCCTGATACTGGAAAGATGGGTGAGCACAATCACCCTCTGCTATCTGTGAAAGGTCAGATGGCCTACCACACACAGCAGATACAAGGATGCAGTGGTACCAGGAAGGAGCCTTTCTGCCTGTCTACAAAATTGCTGTCTTGTCTTTACTTTTAAAAAATAAAATAAAGATACTTCAAATGTTTCTTTAAATTAGACTATAACAAAAGTTACATTTTTTGTTATATAGGTCTTACTTTAGCTTGGTTTTAACCATCCAGAAGAAAAGTATAAAAATGATGTATAAAAAGTAAAGCCATATTGATATGCTGAACTGTAAAATGCTCAAGTCAATAACTTCTGACATTGCCAATCCTACAGATAACCCACTACTATTATGGACTACTGGACTATATTGGATTACTTTGCTGAATTCATGCACCTACAATATTTGAATGACAATGGAATACCCACCTCTGACAAAAGTAAACAAAAAAGGGGGATATAAATGAAGGACCATTTTGTAGTGAAATATATATATATATATATATATAT